AACCTTACTCTCATGCTTTTCTTTCTTGTAATAATAAACCTTTAGATATAGATTCTAAAGGATTGGCCCAGCGTGATTTGTGGGTAAGGTCCAGAGGGTAAATTGACCAGGGATCTGTGGCTGGTTTCTTGGAACCGGACAGAACTTGTTCGGGGTAGGTGGGATTGGGTGCTAGGACCCCCCACCTGTGCATAGGCCCGGGGCCATCTGGGGCCCGGGGCCATCTGGGGCACGGATATTGCTGGGGTGTCGGAGGGGTTTTGTTCGGGAGGCTTCAGGCAGGCAGCTGAAGCGCTCTGAGACTGGTTTGTGGCCTGTTTGGAGAGGTCACCAGTTTGGGGGCCGTAAGGAGCCCCGAAGTTGAGCAGTTCGCCATGAGCGGACGCCCTCAGCTGTGCCCAGACACAGCCCGGTCTGTTACACTCACCTGTGGGTCTCAAAGCACTTTACAGAGGTGGGTAGCTGCTGCTCTCCCCGTTCAACCTCCAGGGAAACTGAGGCACAAACCGGAACAGTGACTCGCCCCACACAGTGCTGTGTGTGAGTGGGGATGAACCCAGGAATTCTGAGGGGCGGGGGTGTCCCGTCCGGATGGATCACGCTGCGTTGTTAGCCGCTCGGGGTCTTCCGTTTCCGTGGCTGGGTCGGTGAACGGTTGTGTAAACTGAACTTTCTAGCAATGATCTGATTCCACACGCGCCGTCTCCTAGCCTGGCTCCTGTCCCTGCTTGGGGGCTTAGTCCTTTGCGATAGGCTCTCGTGGGAGATGGCGCAGAGGAATGCTAGATTATTGGTCTGTTCTCGGGGCAGTGTATGTGTTAGATCTTCCGTTTCCGTGGCTGGGTCGGTGAACGGTTGTGTAAACTGAACTTTCTAGCAATGATCTGATTCCACACGCGCCGTCTCCTAGCCTGGCTCCTGTCCCTGCTTGGGGGCTTAGTCCTTTGCGATAGGCTCTCGTGGGAGATGGCGCAGAGGAATGCTAGATTATTGGTCTGTTCTCGGGGCAGTGTATGTGTTAGATTGCTGCGTGCCCTGGGTGCTGAGCTGCCTGGGCAGTACCAGGGCGTGGGCTGGTGGCTCTGGTACACGCCTGAGTTTTTTGGCTTCATTTACAAGCAGGAATTGAAGGGAGCCAGCCTTGCTCTCACCGGCCCCTGAGAGCTCCCTGGCCAAGCCCTCTGGACATACCACCCGAGCCCTGGCAGGCGCTCCCAGAATGGGCATGTTCACATGCAGTGCTGCGGCCAGCTCTCAAACCTGCCTCACGAGGTGGGCCCCCCTGCCCCACTACTCCTCTGTAGCCGCTGTGAAAGCCGTGTGGAGCCTAAAGAACGATGCTTCGGTGGGGCACATTTAACCACCACCAGGCGGATTTGACTTGGGACCTCGGGAGCAGAGTGTAGGCGCCTCTACCCTCTGAGCTAAAAGCCAGCTGGCTCCCAGCCCACACTGTGGAGGTCTCTTGGTCTTAACTGTTGCTGTGGTCTAGGTACCACTTGCATTGCTCAGTCACCACACTAGGGCTATGTCTACTCTGGTGGGTTCTTGCGCCAGAAAAAAGCGTGGAATATCGCCGAGCCTCATTTGCATACCTAATAAGCAGCCATTTTTGCAGAAGAGGCTCTTGCGCCAGAAGGCGCTGACTACACGGCCCCTTCTTGCGCAAGAAAAACCCTCTTGCGTAACGCCGTTATTCCTGAAAATAATCCGCGTAGGGGCGTTGCGCAAAAGGGCTTTTCTTGCGCAAGAAGGGGCCGTGTAGACAGCTGCTTCTGGCGCAAGAGCCTCTTCTGCAAAAATGGAGGCTCATTAGGTATGCAAATGAGGCTGTGATATTCTATGCTTAGCCTCATTTGCATATTTCTGGTGCAAAAATCCGCCAGTGTAGACACAGCCTAGGTGTGTGGGTTACACGGGCTCAGAACTGGCACCAAGAACCTGCCCTGGCACTGCCTCACTGGTTGGCCTTGGGCGGGTCATTTAACCTCAGTGCGGCTTGGGTTATCACCTAGGTGATGGGGGCGACGTTATTCCACCAGCTCAACCCGCAGTGTGGAGGGAGCCTGCTCATGCGCGTAACTTAGAGATGAGGCACTTAGAAGTCACAAACCAGCTGCAAGGGCAGCCAAGCCCAGGGCGCTCGGATAGTCGAGCTCTATGCTAAGTAGCATGGGCCCCTCCCTCGTTTGAAGAGGGAGAGGTGGGGGGGCTGCATGGAAGGCCTGGGATCCAGAGATGGGGGCAGGGTGCAAGCCCAGGGCAGTAACAAATGCCGGTTGTCGGGGCCTGTTCCGAGCCAGCTGTGTAGCTGCATCGGCCCCAGGAGCCTTTTCGGACCCGCGTGTTCCAGGCTGGGTGAAAGGCCGGGGGGGGTTGGAGCCCGGTGAGGGTGGATGGACGATTCCAGCTCCCGCGCCAGGAAACAAACGCCCACAGCCGGAGGGACCGGCTTAGTGCCAGGCCTGGGCCGGGCCCCCGGGACCGCCGAGCCTGGCAGCCTTCAGTCGGCTTGGCATTTGCCAGTTCTCCATTGCCCCGTCTCTGGCCTTCCCGTGCTCTTCCACTCTGCCAGCCTCCTCCCCCAGAACGGGGCCAGCCCAGGCCTCTGTGGCCCCTCCCAGGTCCCCGAGCACCGGACTCTGGTGGCGCAAGGCCCTCTGCTCTGCCAAATCCCCCCAAAACTCCCTCCTGCCACGCTGGCTCGAAGAGACCCCAGTGAGCTCTGCTGGGGATAACTGTGGTAGGTTAGGGAGTGTCTGTATTTTAACACTGTTAACCCAGTCAGTCCCTGGCATGGCTCCTTCCCCTCTCTGGCATGATAAATGCAGAAGTGGGGGCCAGCAAGTGTACCCCAAAGCCTTATCTACCAGGCTTTGGTATAAAACTTCCCCCAAAATCTTAAAAACCTAGATTTTGGGAATAAAACTTCCGCTGCCACCACCCAAATATTAATAACGAGATTAGGGGGAAGATCATTTGGGAAATCTCACCCCTATTATAAAAATCAGGACACACAACTAACCAATGCCAGGTTACTAAAAAGAAAAGAGAAAACTTTCATTATTACAACAATATTCCTGTTGCAAGCATAAGGATCGGATGGAAAGGTAACAAAATATACTCCTGGAGGAATTACACCATGGCCTAGAACATAGTTAAAAAGAAAAGCCAAACATCTCGTAAGCAGTGCCAGATCTCAGATCCCATACCCAATCCTTAAAACAATAAAACCTAACGAAACTACCTAAACTTTACCCTACTTACAGAAAGTGAAGAATTGTTTCTTGGAGAGAGAGAGAGAGAGAGAGAGAGAGACATGCTTGTCCCTCCCTGTAGCTGCAGAGGACTCACCCGGAGAGACAAAGGAGGGAAAAAAACCCAAATTCCTTTGTCCCAGTTTGAAAGTCCCACCTACATTCCTACTGGCCACTCCACCTGGCTAGGTGTAGTTAACCCCTTAATCCCCAGGCAGCTGGCTAACCCTCATAATCATGACAGTCCCTCAGCGGAGCAGCTGATCCCTGTCTGCTGTTTGGGAAGCGCGAGCATGCAGTGGATGCTGCCAGAAACAAGCAAAACGCGATACGATACTCTCTTCGCTGCGCCAGTTAGAAAGAGAATCCAAAATGCATCTCCCACAATAGAGGAAAGGGGTGTGTGTGTGTGTGTGTGTGTTGCATATACCCCTGGCACTGCCCTGCCACACACTTCCAGTAATTACACCCTCCCCTCCCCCAGAAATCTGTGTGTTTATCAGAATTCGGCGTGGGTGACTCGGGGAAAAGGAAATGTTGTGCAAGGCTGCTGTGAACAATGTTGTTGCTAAATTTAGACCCGTCGAACTCGGCTGCAAGGGGCCGTGCTGCAATTTCTTGTCCTGTCTCACCGACCCTCCGTCTGCTTTCTGTTCCCCCAGAATAATTCGATTAGAACCTCGAAATACAATTTCTTCACCTT